GTTCACTGGATAAACTACCGACATTATGACCTCACAAGCTGATGGAGATGGCTACACCAGCAGCTACTCAGCCAACACAAGGTGTGCAGCACCCTTTTCTTCTGAGGTATATTACTTGGGGCTTTTTGCTTGGAATAGAAATTAGGTATATAATTTATATAGCAATATAAATTAAAGGTCCTAATTTTTTTTTTTTCTTTTCTTTCTCTCTCGCAAGGCTGACTGTCATAGAACTAGCTCTGTAGACCAGGCTTGCTGCCTCTCAAGTACTGGGATTAAAGGCGTGTGTTACAACCAAAGCCAGGCAACACCTAATTTCTTAAGGATCGAGAATTCCATATATCACAATGCTGACACTCCTCTGTGGAGATGAAGCTATGGCCTACCAGAAAGCTGTATACATCTGAACTTTTAATCACAAGATGCTGACCACTGGGATATGGTGTCCTTGTGGATTCAAATCCTCGGTGGTTCTATTTCTCTGGGTGTGTTCTGCCTGCCAGCCAGGGCCTCTCATTCCATGTGCTCACACATACATCCTCAAAGGCTGTGTTATGGTTCTTCTCAGTGTTAGCATCCTCCTCCTTAGCAGGTTAGTTTGAGGTGGTGGTGTCTAATTAGTTCCAACAACACAAATGTAGTTGACTTGCCTAAACTTTAAGAAGTCCTACTGGGTGGTATCCCGAACTCTTAAAACGAATTAATGGGAGCCCTCCATAGAAAGAAGACTGCCGTCTGCCAGAATGTGGCTCAAAATATTTAAGGAATTTTCCACTTGGAAAAATATCTAAGTACTGAGAAGTTTAAAAAGTATTTTTTTCTTAGTACTGCCCTGCAGGAAGTAGGCCTGAAGAGAGTCCATCAACTCAAGAAGGACCACCCTGGAGGAGACTCACACCTTTGATTTGGAACTTGAGGTGGGGAGACTCAACTTTAATCTGGGCCACACCTTCCACTGGAAGCCTATATCCAGACATCTATGAAGGAAGCTTTCGCTCTATGCCGGCGTGCCCTTATCTTGCCAGCACAGCCTTTCCTTCAATGCCATTGGAGCCTACTTCTTTGGGATTCCTGCTTAATACAGAAGACCAGCGGAGACATCTGCGCCTATGAACTGCATTCTTGGGACTTTCTGTTCTCAGCCAAGTATTATTAAATTAACTGGTGTGAAGACTGTAAGTCATGCTGAAAAATGTGTGTGTGGAGAGAGAAAGATTCATTCTATAAGTTGTGTTACTCTAGAGAACCCTGACTATGAATGAAACAGCATGACCAAGAACCACCTGGTGAAGAAAGGGTTTACTTAGTTTACGCCCCCACATCACAGTTCATCATGGAGAGAAGTTAGGGTTGTGACTCAACACAGGAAGCTGGAGTGAGGAACTGAAGCAGATGCCATGGAGGAGTGCTGCTTACTGGCTTGCTTGCTCATGGCTTGTTGGGTTTGCTTTCTCATACAGACCAGGACCTCCTGCCCACAGGTGACACCACTCACAATGGGCTAGGCCTCCCACTTCATTTATTAAGAAAATGTCCTTTAGCCTTGTTTACAGACCAATCTTATGGTGACATTTGAGAAATTGTGGTTGCCTTTTCTTATGCAAGCTGACAAAAACCAACCAACATGAGGCTGCCTATCTTGGCTTCCAGCTGAGGGGAAAAAAGGAACCCCTCTCAGAGTACTATTGCTGTCATCATCCTTCAGATCCCCACTCCAAAGACTAAGAGACATGTTCAAGAGTTCCTAGGTACAGCTGGAAATTGCTGCCTCTGAATAGTTTGTGGAAACAGCAAGGCCTCTATACACCAGCACAAAAGGGGCCACTGAGCCCCTAATTTGGACTGAGACTACACAAAAAGATATTACAAAACAGCTCTGATTTCAGCCCTAACCATCTTCCAGATGTCTCAAAAGCTTTTCATCTGTTCATCCATGAAACAGAAGACAAAAGTTTTTAACCCAAACTTTGGGGGAATGGGTATGTGCTGTGATGTACCTGTCCAAACAACTGAACCTGTGCCTTTTCTGATGCTTTCCAAACTAAATTTTATTAGCACTTAGTGGTATTAAAAGTTTAATTTCTGAATTAAAACAACAGCTAGATTCCCTTGGAGAAATTGTCCTACAAAATTGTAGAGGTTTAGACTTCTTTGTTTTTCAAGATAGGGTTTCTGTGTAGCCTTGGCTGTCCCGGACTCATTTTGTAGACCAGGCTGGCCTTGCACTCACAGAAATCCACCAGCCTTTGCCTCCCCCCAAGTGCCAGGATGAAAGGCATGAGCCACCATGCTCAGCTTTAGATTTAATTCTTAAGACATAAAGAAAACTATGTATAGCTTTGAGAAACTGGTTGTTTCTAGGATAATCAGGAATAAAAAAAAAAAATCTTGCCATGGTTAAAAAAACTCATCGATACCAGTCTCTATTTTCTTGGTCCCCCTGGCTAACTATTGTATCAGCACTAGCTGGACCTTTAATTCCATTCTCATCCTGACTGAATTATCTGCAGGGCCCTGGATCTTAAACTATATGGCTAATTACATATCAGTTTAGTAAAATCTATACACAATAGGACCAACTAGGCCTCCTTAAAACAGGAGTCACAATTTGACTCATTCACTAAGACCAGTGGGGGAATATAGCAGGGCAGGGAACCCTAAAAGGCACCAGACCGTTACATGACTGACTCCATGATGCAAGCACCATTCAGGCTGTGAAACCTAGCAGAGACAGTACCATTTGCCAAAACTAAAGCAAAGATTAATTCATCAAAGTCTACAGTTCTGGGAAAGTCTCTAACCTTGCTCGTCAGCTTCTGCAGTTCCACCTGTGGCTAGCTGTTTTTGTTAACTGGACTATGTCAATTCAGAAGGATGCTGTTATGGTTAAAAGCTCACCCTGACTCAGTGCTACACTGGGATTCTAAACACCCAGTGTAGTCAACAGCTGGCTAATAAAGACTTTCTATTGGCTTAAACTCATGTCCAATCAGTCTTCTCTGGTGAATATCCAACACATTTTAGATGATAGATTTACTATTGGCCTGAATGGTCTGCTCTCATATCCACATTATCAGGACCCTTCACATCCATATTCAAATGGCACTGCAAAAGCTTTCAGAGACAACACTGCAAGTCCTTTCTCTGTCCCATTGTTCCACACAGGCAAAAAAGCCCAGGGCCAGTGCTTGAAACCTGTCTGTACCAAACTCAACATCAGAAAGATCAAAGGGTACACACCCCTGATCTGTGCAGGAAGCATGGGTGCTTATTCTTGTCTAAGTGGCTCAAGAGCTAACTAGTAAATAGTCAACTACCAGGACTTAACCAATGAGGTAAATTACTGAAATAAGACCACACATAAAAAAAAAAACAAAAAACAAAACAAACACACAAGGCACAAACCAGGACTGGACAGTGATAAAGAACACTGCAGGGACAATTAGAAAAACAAAACTTGAGAAAGTTGTCTTCAAGAGTTGAAGTCCTCGTACTAAGAGGTTGAGAGGTTCAAGATCAAGCTTTTTTTTTTTTTTAAAAAAAAAAAAAAAGGTTGCTGGTGGAGCACTGTTGGTGGTGTGCTTGCTAACCACATTAAGCCCTAGATTCAACTTCTGAACCAATCAACATAAGGCATATGGCTGTAACCAGTGGCAGAGGCACGGTTCTCCTTAGCTTTTTGCTGCCAGCCCTGGTTGTAAAAAGCTGTTTCAAAACAAACCTTAGAGAAGACAGGCTGATGGGAGTGAGGTCAGCCTGGTCTACAGAGCAAGTTCCAGGATGACCAAGGCTACACAGAGAAAAAGCAAGAAAACAAAAACCAAGGCTTAGCAAGGTCTTCTGTTCCCAGCCCTCATGTCAAGCTCCGGCTGCAGGGAATCATTTAGACTCCAGGGGCATCTGCATTTCTATGCACACACCCATACACATAGTTTTAAAATGTGCTTACATTATTCCAAACTTTGTAGATAAGACTTCTGCACCTTCTCCCCTTCAAGGTCTCTGCTCTATGGATGTTTACTTCTCTAAGTACAACTCAACTAGGTTTTGGGTTTTCTCAAGGTCCTTCTGCAAGTTGTACTGATTTTAAAAGTCCATGAACATTTCAAAGACAGCTAAGTGGCTTCCTAGATCCCAACAGAACACCCAATAGCCAGTACTTGGGCTTCGTATCACAAAGGGATGCAAGTGCTGCTGGTACCCTTTAAGCCTAGCACACTTTTAAGACTTCAATCACCAAACGCAGGGGTCAAAGAGCAGTGACTTCTAGCTTTTGAAGATACATTAAACAGTTTGAGCCTTCCAAAGCATTTCTCACATAAACACAAGCTTTTTTTTTCTATCAACTATTATTCTCCAATCAAGCCATGTACACAAATCCTTTACCAGCCTTCTAAGTCAAGATCCATTTCACGCAGCTCTGCTCATTATCCAACCTCACCCTATGAAGCATAGACTGGCATTCCTCATGAAGTTACCTGTAGTTGCTGGGCAGTCTGTAGCGGGAAGTCAAACTTTCCTGAGCAAGCAGCATTCAAGCCAACTGAACCAACATCTCTCCCACCCAGATACTCTAAGTAGCTTTCTTCCATTTAAAAATGACCACTTACGCCTGTGCCACCCATGTCTGCATAAACCTAAGGTGGTACAAGCCAGTTTGCCAACCCCTATTTAGTTACCAGGAACCCGGCATTCTTCCAGGAGACTTGGTTCTACTTCTGAATTAAGCAGGCAGGACCTTGCTTCCGACCAGCTGGTCTCTTTATGGTTTTGGTAAGCTCTTCCACTGAAGGTGCTGAACGTGGAGTCCACTTCCCATCTTTCCCGTCACTGTAACTCGGGTCCTTGCTGTCACACGGTCCAGTCTTGCAAGCAGCTCCCACCGCAGCAGTTATCTGACGAGACTTGGCTTTCTAGCAGTGCTCAACCAGCTCTAGCTTCTCACCCCAACTAACGGATGGAGCCAGCACAATCCCATTAAAGAGGCATTCACTCTTAAGTGAATTTAAATGCACTTTATTTTTAGACAACCCACATGACATGTTTTTTCTTACAAAAACAATGCCTCCACTCCAAATAAATCACGGTCAAAATAAAAGCTCAAGATGACATCAGTCCCATTTGCCTAAAGTCCTGGTGTTGAATGGATGGTAAGCAGCAGCCAGTTACGGTGACAGGTGATAGGTTCAATTTGTTACTGCAAAACAAGGAAACTGCATGAAGAGCTGCCCTAGCTTGAGTGTGTTAACTTTCTTAGCATATTATAGATGTACTCCCCAATTCAATCTGGACTGCCACAAAGACAGGCAGGAAGCGCAGGGAGCTTTTCTTTTGCATCCTAGTGCAAACCAGAAGAACAACCACACTGTTCAAGGTCTATCAGTGGATGCAGAACACCCCCACCAAGTCAGCAGCACCTGCCAATCTTTCTGCAGACTCCATTCAGTTCTCCAACAAACACCAGGCCTTGTCTGAATACTGCTACCCTCACCCCACTGTCCCAGAGCATAGTTCTAACCTTCTGCCTAGCTTACAACAAGGCCTCCAAAAGCCCCCTTATGGAACACATCTTTGTGTTCTATTTTTACTAAAGATTTTGTAAACATGGGAAAGAAATCCTGTGGTACTGTATGAAATGGACTTGAACCACTGTGGAGCAAAGGCCATTAGTGCCAGTTCACACCCATACTCTGCCTATAACTTATCCCAGGCTGGGTCAATCCAAGCTAGTGATGACCCCACTTAAAGTTTCTCTGAGCACTCCAAGCAAGCTCATTTCTCTAGGCCCTCTTTATGTTCAAGGCACTATTCTCCTTAGATTCCACAAGATAAAAGCCTAGATCTCCCAATCTACATGGCTTCAAGAGAACCATGTCCGTACCTACAGATAGGAAAGAACCACACTAACCACTACTAATTTCAATGTGTACTTACACATTTTTCCATCTCTAAGCCATCCTTAAAGAAAATCATGAATGGAGTCACACCATCTTCACGGTAGTCCAGGAGAGCAACCATACCATCTGGATTCATGTTTTCACCAATAAAAAACTTAAGAAACAAGTAACAAATAATGACAATTAGCTTCAAAGCAAACGACAGAAGGAAAATACAGAACTCCAAACCAACATTTTGCTAAGCTCTGATAACTCAAAAGCAACAAACATACTGGCCAAGTGTGTTCCCACACACCTTTAATCCCAGCACTTAAAAGGCAGAGAGAGGCAGGAGGACTGCTGGGTTCAAGGACAGCCCAGTCTACAGATAAAGCCTTTCTCAATGAAAACAGTCATGCTTTATCACTTTACATATCAGCTCTTGCAGTGTTGGCGGTGACACTACAATCCTTTAATCTCAGAAGGCTGAGGTGGGTGGAGCATTCTAAGTTAGCCTGGTTTATACAGTGAGTTCCAGGACAGCCCTGTACAGACAGAACCCATCCCACCTTTCCCTGTGGTCAAGGCTGTACAACCCTTTGATTTACCTGGTAGTTATTGAAGTTAGCAAGGATGTGCTTAATTTGCTCTGCAGCCCCAGCCATAAAAGGCTTTACTCTTTCTGGTTTATGTTCTTCAAGTTTGCCTTTGAGTCTAAAACAGTAAATTTTAACAGGTCATTAAAATATTGAGTTAAGTAAAATCAGTTTTTCCATTAAGTACAGTACAAGCCCCAACCAGAAAGAGAAAGAGCTACTGGCTCTAAACAAAAAAGAATGATACAGCTCACTACTAGGTGACAGGATACAGCCAATAAATATAATTCTAGACACATTAACTTTTACAGGAATTCTTTCTATTCTCCAAAGCCAGACTGCTTGTACAATATATCCACATTACTGAGACGCAACCTTCACTATATAACAAAAGGTTCCTCTTCCACGTCCTTTATTACCAAGGAACCCACTAGCAACAGTAAGTCTTCTAGGACCCTGACCACCAAAACGGGGTGTTTACATCACTTACGATTTCATGTAATCTTTGATGTACTTTTTGTAGGCCTCTTTTGTGAAGCTGGTTTCCTGTAAGTGATGGTTCATGACAATATCAACACCGGTGACTACTGTGCTTTCGGTACCTTCGCCCTCCGGGCCTTCGGCGGAAGCATTTCCACCGATGAGCGAGTCATCGATGTTACCCTCTGTCCTACTGACCATCTACGTTAAGGGAAAAAAAAAACGTGATTGCAAAACAAACAAACAAAAAAACTCGCCTCCAAATTAACTTCTACACGCCGGCAACCGTCTGTCAGTTCCCTCGAAAACCTTAAGCCCACAAAAACGTAGCCTTTGCCCCGATCGAAGGCGGCGGTCTTGCTAACAAAGTGGAAGAAGTTCTGGGCACTCTCGGACCGCCACGGGTTAAGCGCAGGCAGCGCCAACATATCTTAAACAGAGACAATATGTCCCCGGTCGCCCGGAAGGAGGCTGGGTGCTGAGTTCGCGGACCTATTTCCAGGCTCGGCTCCGCCTCCACTTTTCTAGAAAAACCCCGGGCCGGAAAAAGCGTCTCCTCCGCCTGGAGGCGGCCGGGAGGATTGCACGAGCCCCAGCGGCCCCGCCGCAACCCCGGCCCGCCCGGCCTCCCCGCGGCGCCCCGCTCACCTTGCCCTCCACCTCCAGGCACAGCCCGTCCGCGATCTCCCGGATCTTGTAGATGTCGGAGAACAGCTCGTCATCTGAAAGGGGACGGAGAGACAGAGCCGCCCGTCAGCGGGCGGAGGCTCGCCATTGCCCGCGCCCGCCGGGCGCACGCGGCGGCTCCCGGCCCAGGCTCTGCGCTCGCGCCCCGGCCTCCTGAGCCCACCCGCACCCAGACCCGCGGGCGGCCGGGACTCACGGCTGATGAGGTCCCGGTAGATGATCATGGTGGCGGCTGGGGACGGCGGCGCGAGCCTGACGGCGCGGAGCGAGCGCGGTGCAGCCGGAGCGGCGCTCGGGGGGAGGGGGGAGCGGGCGGAAAAGGCCGACTTCGGGCGCTCCCCAACCTCATATAGAGGGCACGATCCTCTACGTCATCGCCCGCTGCGCCCCCGGAACTGCCGCAAGCGGTGACGTGGCACGCAGAGCGGCGCGGGGGGGGCGTGGCCGCGGCACGGCCGGGCCGGGGAAGGGCGGCGGGCATCCGGGGACTTGGCCGGTGACACAATGCGGCGTTCCCATGGGTGCGCGCGGCGGGCGGGGGCGGGGCGGGGCGGGGCGGGGCGGGGCGCGCTCTCCCAGAGCATGCTGGGACGGGCGGGGACTCGAGGCCGAGCACCCGCAGCTTGAGTCACACCGGCTGGGTGTGGCTCAGGGGAAGCAGCGTCCGCCTCCTGACCTGCTCAAGTTCCCACCCCTTTCTCGGAAAGAAGTTGTCAGCAGAATCGGATTCCCTTTGCCGAGCGCACAGCCGAGCCTGCGGGGACGGCGATGACGGCTCTGGGCTGGTATCCCGGATCTCTGGCATCTGGCCCACCGCTGTCCAGGGACTTCACCGGGCTTGGGTAGGGGGATGTCGCGGCTGCCCTAGTCTCTGCAGCGGGTTCGGGATGTCATAGCCTGCGGTGGTTCAGGCTTAGCTGCTCTGTTTCCTTGGTGTCAAATAATGTCCTTTGTTAGAACGAAGTTCTGTTCTGTCATTTTTGTCCCTGGTACTGCAGGACTAAACAGACCAAAATGAGCTTCCCGGGTCACCTGAAGGGCTTTTACATTCATTACGAAGTACAACAAACAAAATACAACTTTTGAGCCCCGTCTTTCAGGTAAACTTGTATGACAGGATGAAATCACAAAACTTCTTCCGTTTCAGATTTGGTTATAGTCTGTTGTATCCTTAGTGTTGTCATTTTCGCACTTAAGAACATGGCCAGTCCTGCCTGACATCGTAGAAAACTTGATACTAGTATGTCAGAGCAGGCAATTACACACTAACAAATTGTCATAAACGCAATACTAAAGCATTAGGAATAAAACCCTTGCTAAGGATCAAGACGCAGGATAATACTGGGATCATGAAATCAAAATGGCCATTTAAGAAACGGGGTGCTGTAGGGGAATTTTAATTCAGAACATGGCTGTTCTGGCAAGAGATCACATCCAAAGACCTAGGTCTGTGAATCTGGCTGGAATACAAACACATCTTTACTCCAGGAGACAGAGGCAAGCAGATCTGAGTTCAAGGCTGGCCTGATACAGAGCAGAGTTTCAGGTAGAAAAAAGGTTAGGTCCAGGAGTACATGCCTTTAATCTCAAACAATGAAGGTAAAGTTAGTTTGTAGAAGGAAACCCCCATGTTTGAAAGTGATGTTTAATTGAGTGTCAGAGAAAGTGACAAATCAGGTTTACAGAACTCTTAAGATAAAAGAGAGTAAAGAGAAACTATTGAAGGGGTAATTGGAGAGAGAGAGAGAGGAGGCAGTTTTAGGTTGTAGAGAGAGAGAGAACTCAGGTAAAGACCCAATGATCCAGAGAATGAGGAGGAGCCAGGAGATTAGAAAAGATTGCTGGAGTTAGTTTGAGACCAAGCAGAACAATTCAGAGGCCAAGAGAAAAGCCAGATTATATAAGTTTGAGCCAGAACAGTTGGATTGAACCAGCCAGCCCAGAGTTCAATAAAAACAAAGAGTGAGCTTATTAAGCAGTAATTCTCAGAGACTGAAAACATTCTAGGCCTAAGTTAGATGGTATGGAGGCTAGAAGCTTCCAGGACGAGGCCTAGGTTAGCAGTAAGCCTCCTAGACGACAATTACCTCAGGAGAATAAAGCTTCTTTTGCAGAGTTCCCTCAAAAAGATGAGGTGGTCTAGCGTTTCCCTAGACACACTAAAGGACACAGGGTAACAAAGGAAGAAAGTGGTGAAGAGCATCGGAAAATATGAACGTACAACCAATGGTCAAAGAGTTTGCACTTCGGAGGACTCAGTTATTTCTGGGTTAGGTGAATTCTTACATTAATTTGATAGACATTATCCCAGGGATTTAACATTTTCAAATTATTCAAAAACACTCATTTATAAAGAACGTCAAACATTACTCTCTTTAGCTTTTTCTGTTATTTTTCTCCAAGTTTATGCCCAAATAAAAGTATTTTTTCACATCATTTAAAAAAAAAAAAGAGGGCTTTACAGATGGCTCAGAGGTCCAAGAGCACTGGCTGCTCTTCCAAAGGTCCTGAGTTCAATTCCCAGCAACCAAATGGTGGCTCACAACCATCTATAATGAGGCCTCCTGGCCTGCAGACAAAATACTGTATAAATAAATAATAAAGAAATTGTAAAAAAAAAAAAAAAAAAAAAAAGGTAGCTATGTTGCAACAGAGCTGAAGACTCCAAGCTAAGCTATGCTGAAATCTGTGTGTTACCAGTGCTGTGTGTGATTTCGGGAAAGTCACCATGTTTGAGTTTCAGAGTATGAAATGGAATTTCTGTGAATTTAATAAGATGAGAAACCAGCTGGCATGTTTAACGTGATATATATATATATATATATATATATATATATATATATATATATATATATATATATATGATGTGTATGTGATTCCCAAATTTTATTTTCTTTTTCAGAGTATTCCTGAGTTTGTTACTGTTAGGCCCCAAAGCCATTTGTCCTGAGTTTCTTTTGGACCTGACAATTACCTCTTCTGTCACTCATTTGCTTGTGTAGCCCAAGCCGGTCTTGAACTGACTTTGGAGACAGACAGGCCTGGCAATCAGGATTCTCCTACCTCAGCCTAAATAGGGCTAGGGGTACAGGTGTAAACCCACCATTCTTAGTCTCAGAATACCATTCGTGATGAGACGTTCCTAACAGGCGGGAGTAGGAAAGTAGTCACTCAGGATGTGGTCTGATGAATTAGAAGGTAGATGAGTTTGGGATGCTCCTTGCTAATTGGGTCAGAAGATGAATGAGCCAAACTGGACTATTCCTAATAGTTTGGGATAATGTGAAATTTTTTTTTTTTTTTTTTTGGACAAGGTCTTGCCAGTCTTACCATGTACCCTGTCTGGCCTGGAGCATGCTACATAGACCAGGCTCACCTTGAATTAACAGAGCTCTGCCTCCTGGGTCCTGGAATTAAAGGCATGCATAGCACCTGACACCACAATGCTTTTTTTTTTTTTTTTTTTTTTTTTTTTGAGACAGGATTTGACTGTGTAACAACCCTGCCTATCCTGGACTCACTTTGTAGACCAGGCTGGCCTTGATCCCACAGAGATCTGCCTACCTCTGCCTCCTTGAGTGCTGGAATTACAGGTGTGTGCCACAGAGCCTGGCTCATAGTGCTTTTTAAGTTGAGGGCAAATTTAGTACTCTAGAGGTCAGTGGAACTGTATGTAGTCTAGAGTCCAGGGGAACTAGACATAAAAGCCAAGAATGGTTGCATATATGTCAGCTCTGACAGTGGGCAGCAAGCAGCAGGAGGACCTGGGGTGCCCAGACAGTCTAGCTGAAACAGTGAGGGAATAGTTGAAACAGTGAGAGAGTAAGGTTGATGGTCATAGAATACACCTCATGTTGACCTCTGGTCCCTACAACTGGGTATACCAGTGAGTGCCCCCCAACACCACCTACTCTAACCAGGGCATCTATATCTGTATGTAGAGGCGGTGGATCCCCTGGAATTGGAGTAATAGACAGTTGTGAGCTGCCTCTCCCTCTCTCTTCCCTCTCCTCCTCCTTGCCTTCTCTCCCTCTCTCCAGGATTTCTCTCTCTGCCTGGCTTTGTAGACGAGGCTGGCCTCAGAACTTGGAACTCACAGAGATCAGCCTGCCTCTGGCTCCCAAGTGCTGAGGTGTGTGTGCACTGCCACACCCAGCTCTCTGATCTCCTTAAAAATCTCTTCTCTGTAACTTTCCTTTGGAATATATCATCTATCAATATCCTGTTTGTTTTATCTTGTTTCCCCTTCAAGGTGATGTACAAACCAGGGCAGAGAGATCTGTTTTGCTCACAGCCTATTCCCACTGCCTGGCCTAGTTAGGTAGCCAATAAGTGACTTAAATGAATGGACTTGAGATGCAAACTAATAATAGCAGTGGCAGCAAACTGAATCCCTGTTCTAGCCCAGCAACCTGTGAGGCCATCCTCCTGGCAGCACCCTGATTGTCCTAGTGGAGAATCAGATTTTCCTTTGGATTCCTGGACAGCCAGAAACCTAGGTTTCTACATAGCACAGTTACAGAGTAACTGGTACCAGAAAAGCCTATATCTTTGTCCCTTAGCACACAGTTGTACACAATGAAAGCCAGCATGTGGCTGCATGAGGTGGTATACACATTTTAAAAGAATTTTTATTCATTTTACATATGTGAGTGCCCTACCTGCAGATCACCTGCTTGCTAACGGGTAGGGCATCAGATCCCAGTATAGATGGTCATAAGCCACCATGTGGTTGCTGGGAATTGAACTCAGGACCTCTGGAAGAACAGACAGTGCTCTTAACTGCTGAGGCATTTGCTCTCAGCACTTGGGAGGCAGAGGCAGGCAGATCTCTGCGTCTGAGGCCAGCCAGGGCTACATAATGAGACTCAGAAGCAAGCACCTGGCTATAAACCTCAATGGGTCTTTGCAGAGGTACACCTAAGAGTCTGGAAGGACACACATCAACAAGGTAACATGGGTGACATGGGAAGTGGCTGGGCTAGGAAAGAGTGAAAGGGGGAGCTTCAGAGCTGACTGTACCCTCACTTCAGTACTCTTGGCGCATTTATAGTCCTTTCCCGTAGATACCAAACAGCAATGCAAACAAAGAAGGGGCACTGTGTCTACGGTGTGTGGACAGTTTATAAGAAAAATTCACCAAATAAGAGCTAGAGATACTTGGGAGGGAGAGGTGAAAGGAGTTTCCTGACTGAACTATGCAGCTGCAAAGGGTTTTCTGATGCCTTCATAAGTGTGGGATGTGTGTGTGTGTGTGTGTGTGTGTATAAGAGACAGAGAGTGAGAGGGAGAGAGTGTGTGTGTGTGTTTGCTTGCGTGTGTTCATGTGCCCACATAATCCAGCTCTATTTTGATCTGGAGAATTAACTCATAAACTATTGTGCTAAAAATGGCAACAAGTCCTTTTTAGGGCGTAGTGAAGAA